CCAAGATATAGAGTGTTGAATATTGGGGAGTATTTATGGTCCGTTTAGTTCAAACATGATGTAAACTAAAATTTCAATCAATTAATTTTGATTGTTTTGAATTTGACTTATAAAAATAAATTATGATCAGAATCAAATCAAACAAATTAATAATGAATTAGTTTAATTTAGATTAATTGATTTTCATCGAAAAATAAATGACGATATTTTTCTAAATATAAAATGTATTATTTTGTTTCAAAATTTAAATATAAATCTATTTTTAGAATAATGTAGAAAAATATGAAATTAAAATAATAAAATATATTTTTTACTGAAATAAAAGAATAATGTCAGAAATTATCAAATTTAACTAATAAAATGATAATGATACAAATATTAATATTACAAACTAATAATATTATAAATATTATATTACAAAATATTCATTTATAAATATTAATATTGCATAAACAATAATATTATAAAAAACCATTGTTAGTGTGTTATCAAATTAGATATATTCATGTTAACATGAGTAATATAGTGTTGTATTTCTAATAAAATTATAAAATAATATTAAGATAGTAATTATTAAAAAAAATGAAATGATAACAATAATTTTAATTGAGGAGGTTATTGGATCATTGGATTTGTAAAAGGTAAATTCATGATCCAAACCAATTAAAGTCAGATTTATTTAATTTAGATTGGATTTAATCTGATAAAAAATATATCAATTTAAATAATTTAATTTAAATAATTGATTTTATCAAATTAAAATTGGCTAACACCCTTAATTGAGTGTTAAGTATACGATTAAATATTATTTATTATATTGTATTACATGTATTACATGTATTTTTTTATTAACTAAAAACTAAATAATGATTTAAGAAAACATAACTCTGAGAATCAAGGTTAATTATGTGATTTTGTTATTCTTTTTATAGCTTTAATTGTTATAACTGATGTAATGTTTATTTCTTTCCTTCGTGGATTTAATTAATTCCAGTTGGGACACTAGTCTCTCCCTTTCACCCAATAAAATAACAACTTTGAAAATATTCTAAATATTTACATCATTTTTTTTTCCACAAAACATCTTCGATTTAATCACACAAATATTTCTTGTAAAATAATAAATATATTTTTTATTTCAGTTTTCTTCTGTACACTCTCTAGTCACTAGACATAATCTTAGGCTTTTATCTAGATCGATCGATAATATTGATAAACAAAAGACAAGACACACACATAAATTAGTAATTACACAGTATCACTGTGGATTCATTATTGAATGAATTATTTTTGGGGGGTACAATTATTTATTAGGGAATTTTAATATTTTATGTATATATGCCTTATCCTGTAATATGTATGTCTGCAAATTCCGAGTAGAGATATTTTAGGCGAAAATTACGGCAATATTCTCTGAGACCAAATCACATAGTTAGTTTTTTGTCGATTTGGCAGGTAAAGGAGATAATATAGTTACAAATAGAATAGAATATCTTACACACACCACTTGCAAATTGTAATTGCAAAGCATGGATAAAGAGTATCGGAAAAAATTCAAGTTGTGCCAATCACTGATACATGTACATGGGAATGAGGGGGTGTATCGAGAAAAATTTAAGTCTTATCACTCCTAAATCATTTAAAAAGACTATCTATCATTTATCCACGTACCAAGCCTAATAATATTGGACGTGAAAGGGTGTGTATTAGAAAAAATTAAAATCTTACATCAACTAAAGATTAAGCAATTAAAAAATATATAAGTGAAGAACAATTCTCATTTTACAAACTAATTTTATAAGATTGAGTTAACCTTAAATCTAATATTACAAGAATGTGTTTGCTGGGTCAGGTAAGCCTAATCAAATGCAGCATTTGAGTCTCTCTCTCAACTCTCAATGTTGCTTCTTTTATTCTACCTTTGCCTGCATTGCACGTGGAGAACAACTTCCACCATGTGCTTCAGTATTGTGCCTTCAATTTTTATAAAATAAAGTTGCGAGGGCCATTATTGACCGCATTTTTTAAATGAATGTTATTCGTTTAAATAATTATAGGGCACGGGTGTGCCCACTTTCCATGTCCGTCCAAAAACAGATTCCGCGAAGACCAATTGTGTGGGTCCAATGTTCGGTCAACTCACTCTAATTAATCTCTAATCACGGCTAATACCATTTTATATGAAGGATATGATTATTTAGAGGTAGCTTAAATTTAATTAGGGTAAAATATATTTTTAGTTTTTATAAAAATTTTGAGAAAATCCTTATGAAACTTAGGGAGACTCTCGATTGTTGTTGTTTGGATAAAATATCAATGTTTTTTTTTTCTTTCATGATTACTTTTATTAACATATATGTTACCCTCATTAATTGTTGTAAGTATTATTGCAATCATTATTATTATGGATTATTTTTGTTATTATAATTAATTAATTAACAATAACATTTTATTTCTATTTTCTTATTATATTTTCTTTATTATTATTATTATTATTATATCATTATTTTAATAATTATTTTCTTACGCATTAATATTACTTTTATTATAATTACTATTGTCATTGATATCTTCATTTTTAATAATAATAATATTATTATTCATGGATATTATTCCTAGTAACATACATATTCACAAAATTATCATATATCTATATGTTGCACCACCATTTATTATTATTACTAAATTAATATATTTACCACTAATATTCTTACTGAAATCAGGACCACCACTACATCCTTGCATCACCATCATATCTATCACTACTAATAGAATTATTCCACCGCTACTATATATTGTTTCCTCCATATCATTCTTGTTACCACGGCCAATTTTTTTTTTTTTTTTATGAAACTTTTATTTACATGTAATTTATCTGAATATTTGAAAAATTATTTAGTGTGCATTAAACATCGAATAAGATGAGATCTTATCATGCTTTTATATTTTTCTCTAAGCCTTTCTTACGCTCTTGTCTTATACACTATTATCATATTCTAACAAACAAAAACTTTAAACATTCATTTGTCCCCTTAAAAATAGGTAAATGTAAGTTCTTTATAAATAATAATAAATAAATAAAAACTTATCTTACATCGAAACATCTTTTCCTTATCCTAAAGTTACCTTTTACCAACAGAAAGAATAAATCATCAGCTCAAATCATTAATAATTTACTTTTAAAAAAGATCATAAAAATGTCAGATTAAAATTTACTGAACCATTAATAATTTGAATCACGAGTAAGCGAGTGAATTTGCTCAACTCATTGTGTACCTTTCTTGTTAATTGTTACATCAATAATAATAAACTCTCATTTCCAAGTTTTTCAATATTTTAATATTTGATTTTAGTTTATTCTTTTTAAATTTGAAATACTTGTATCATTTATGTAAAAACTTACTAGTTATATTAAAATTAGTTTAAATATTATCTCGGGTCGCAATCAACCTGATATAATTAAGATGAAGTGCACCTCGGCAACTTGGAGTTGGAGATTAACATGGTTGACATTTGAAAGGCAAGTTTCTGGTTGTGTAATTAAATTATAGAGTATCCATCTATCAAATATGGTCTTTGAAAACTTCAGATTTAATATATATGTCAAAATGCCAAGAGTAATTAATCTCTTAATGACTGAATCTTTCAGTGATCACAATGGATATATATTATTTATTTTTTAACGGAGACTACAGGTTTTTTTTAGTCTTTTACAAGAGAGTTTTACTGGACTCATTAATATTCACAATGTTATGTGACTAGCTTTTTCATTGAAATTTTTCTCATATACAATAATTGAATCTTAAACCTTACTTAAAATGAGTGTGAGTATAGTGTTTGAATCACCTGTAGTACATAATCATGTATACAGATAGTGTTTACTTTAAAAAATGGAAATATCCATTAATCAAAGATGAAATAATTATTAACAATTCATCATGGTCACAACAAGCCTACAATTCAAAAATTGAAGATAAAATTAATATTTTAATTCTCTACTTTTAATTTAGTCTTCTAATTTCCTTTAGATATCCCAGTTTAAAATTTTAACTTTTCATTTCACAGTTTTTAATGTGAAAACCTATTATTTTGTGAGTTACAATTAATTAACAGAATAAATCAACATTATTATCATTGCAACAAAAGTTGATGATGGAAATTGAAAAAACAACGAAACACGAAGAAAAGTTAATAATCAAAATCGACAAAAGAAAATAAAGAAATCATCAAATTAAAGCTTAAACTAAAGTTAAAGAACTAAACTGTTAATTTTATAAAAATAAAAATTTGAATAAAGGTGACAAATATCTAATTTGTGCTCTAGGTAATCATTATGGGACAAATTACACATAAGCTAAATACTCGGGTTTTTTTTCCCTTTATTAGTTCTTTGAATTCATATACTAACATTCGAATAACTTAAAGAGAGGCTTGTGCAAGATTATAAATAAATATAATATCATTAAATTTCAAAAGATTTGAAATGTAATTTATCTGTTATTAATTTTTTTATGAATAAAAAATAAATAAAAAGAGGTGGATAATGAATGAGGAGGTTAAATAAGCGATGGAAGAGTTAACTGAAAAACTGTTCCTTAAGTGAAGGGAAAGCGTTGTCCACTCGCGGAAGCAAGTGCGCGTGGTTCTGTTAATTCCGTTTGCATTCATTGGACACTTTCGATTTCGGTCTCGTGGTTGTCTTTTCACTGCATTAGCCACCGCCGTTGCTATTTCTGTTTGCCACTTTTTTTTTTTTTTTTTTTTTTAATCTTGTCCTCTCTTCACTTGCTCCTTACTATATTTTTTATTCTCCATCACATTCACAACACTTTCTCCTCCATCGTCACTAATGCTACCTCTGCCTCTGATTTAGATTCGCATATAGTTGTTGCTTACATGTGC